TAGGAGAAGCACATGAGATAATATTTGTGAAGTGCTCAGAGCAGAGCCTGGCATATCTCCCTATCATCTGTCTGTCTATCATCTGTCTGTCTGTCTATCTACCTATCACCTATCTATCATCCACCTATCTATGTATCATCTATCTATTACCTACTTACCAATCTATTATCTATCTTTCTATTATCTATCTACCATCCATCTATCATCTATCTATCAGGTTTCATCTTCATTCCTCACCTTTCCCCAGCTGTAAAAATTGATGTCCTGTGAAATCATCTCAACCTTCTCCTAAACGTGTCCTCTGTGCTGCCATAGTGATGAGAAGGCTCGTGGATTTCTCTTGGCTTGACTGGACCCCATGCTTTCTCTCCTGCGCTCTTTAACCCACTGCAACAGATCAGATTGTGAAACTTGGCTTCAAGCCATCAATGGCTTCCAGCTGTCCTCAGATTAAAACTCCAGTTAGTGCCTGACATGACATAAAACCGTCCATGACTGGCCATGCTCTCCCTGATCCAACCTGCAGGCATTTGGGTTCTGGCCTGGCCTGGCCTTTGGTGGAGAATCCAAACTGTACTGCAGCTGGAAGTTTTGTGGCACTGCTGTGTCCATGTGGTCCTGGATCTACTTTAGATCCTTCAGAAGGCCGATTCTCTAGGGACAGCTTGATGGGTTCCAATAGTACTAATGCTTGGGAAAGAGTATGAAAGACTGTGAGGAGGAGCCAGATGGGACATCAGTGAAAATAGGCTGGATTCGNTTCCAGCTGTCCTCAGATTAAAACTCCAGTTAGTGCCTGACATGACATAAAACCGTCCATGTCTGGCCATGCTCTCCCTGATCCAACCTGCAGGCATTTTGGTTCTGGCCTGGCCTGGCCTTTGGTGGAGAATCCAAACTGTACTGCAGCTGGAAGTTTTGTGGCACTGCTGTGTCCACGTGGTCCTGGATCTACTTTAGATCCTTCAGAAGGCCGATTCTCTAGGGACAGCTTGATGGGTTCCAATAGTACTAATGCTTGGGAAAGAGTATGAAAGCCTGTGAGGAGGAGCCAGATGGGACATCAGTGAAAATAGGCTGGATTCGGAAGAGAAGATCTAAGGTCCAAGTGCAGCACGGCAATTACAGACACCACACAGTCTATGGGCTGAGAAGATTGGCCTTCCCTAGGTCCCAGTAAGAGTGGCGTGTGGGTCTTCGCTGTGGGAAGTGTTGAGAACTTTCTGCACATGTCAATGATCTGTCACTGCACAAGAAACCACCCCAACACTTAGTGGCCTAAAGCAACATGTGTTGCATGTGTTGCTGTTTCTCATGGTTCTGTGGTTCTCTGGTGTTCCTTCTGCTGGCCTCTGCAGGTTCACTCATGTGGCTGCATCCAGGTGGAGGGCAGACTGGGGAATGGGCTCGGGGACAGCTGGACCAGCCTCTCATCCTCGAGGGGGCTGGACGATGCTTATTTACATAAAGAAGCATCCGAGAGCCAAGCTCCATGGAGTAAGCCTGACTCCAGCCACAGCAAGCACCTAGTTTGCTGACATCCCATAGGCCAAAACAGACCACAAGCCATGGCCAGAGTCAGAGTGGAGGTGCTCCACTGAGCACGGGGGCTGGAGGCAGGTCATTAATAAACCCACCTGCCCCATCCCACGTGGAATTCAGTGAAGGAGTCATGAACTCAGAACATCTGGTTGCAGAAAATAGTTTTTTGACACTGCTGTTTGAGAAAAATTGGGCTTCCCTTAACATCTGAACAGAGAATACTAGATATTCTCAATAATGGCACCAAAGTACAGAGGAAGGAACTGAGGGCCAGGAGTCAGGAGATCTAACTTTAGCCTGTCTGTACTTATTCAGCATGCAATCTAGTCAAATCGTTCCTTAAGGGTTGGCTTAGGAAGATGTAAAATATCTAAGAAGAGAATAAAACAGAAATAGAGTTAACCAACCTGAGCACCGCACTGGTGCTGTTTCTGTGGTTTCCCATGTGCAGCAGGTTGCAAAAATTAAAGCTTCTTGCATTATTCTGCATTTCTTATCTAAAGAAGTGGCCGTTCAGTGGCCTTTGCAATTCCTTTTGCCTCTCTCTCTTTTGGCATTTGGTTTTAGGGGCAGGGCATGGTTTTGGAGTGAGGGCTGGGCTCCTGTCCCCTGTCCTGGTTGATGTGTGTGTGATGCAATGTTTGGGGGCCACACCTGGGTGAGGAGGACATGCGTGCTGGGGTCCGCGCAGCTCGTCAGCATTGCTTACACGTGTCTGGGAGCTGTTAAATACTATCACCATCTCCAAGACGTGGTCACCAGTTAGGATTTGTCAAAAGGAAACACTTAAAGCTCCTGCTTCTAGTATTCACAATAATCATATTAATTTCTTATTAGGGGACCCGGGTCATTCTGGGAGCAGCAAAGTGCTCATTTGGGGAAAGAGTGGAGAATATGCAACGTGGAAAATGGACTGAATCATGTATGAATCAGTTTTCGTTGCAGAGCGAGGACTTTAACATGGCAGCGGCTGACAGCCACAGCTTTCCCTCTCGCACTGTGGAGTCTGCGGAGGGGCCAGGGTGCAGCAGATCCAGTCTGGCTTGGCTGACATCTTTGTGCACAGCCCAGGCCGAAAGGGCAGTGGCCGTTTGGGTCAGGGTCTTCTCCTGGAGCCTCAGAGGGGAGCAGGAGGAGCAGCCAAACCACACATGCACAGTAAGGCATCCATTAACATCCGTTAACCAAAGCAATGGGGTAGGGGGACACTTTTTATTTTCCTGAGAGAGGTGCTGCAAAGCCACATGGCAGAGGGCATGGGTGTATAATTTATTACAGCAAGGGACACAATTATCCACTGATCTCGGCACACCTACCTACATCTCTCCTCTGATGGGGCTGGAACCCTGTACCCAAGCTCCCATGGGGCCCGTGAGTTTGATGCTGGCAGTGGCTGGCCACACTTCTGCTGACAAGGCTACTCTTCTGTACCATGGTCCATTAATTGCTGAGCTATTCTTGTTGGAGTAGTCATCTTTCTTCCCCCTCCTCCCTTGCCTCCAGGAACCATGGCCCCATATAGCTGCCAAATCCTGTATGGGAGTGTGCGTGGGTGGAGGGGCTTATGGTGAAATCCAGGTGTGAATAGAAGAACGAGGCTGGGAAATGGCAGCGGCTCCCATGCGCTGGCAGAGAGAGGGGTAGAAGAGGGTGAGGCCTGGGGAACGGTGGTTGTCCCTTGAAAGATGATACCATCTGGCAGAAGCAGGGGACCCCTCCTTTCTCAATCATGTATGTATCCATGTTATTATCCACATATGGCCAATGGATTAGACAACAGTAGGTATCCATGTTATTATCCACATATGGCCAATGGATTAGACAACAGTAGGTATCCATGTTATTATCCATGTATGTGTCCAAGTTATTACTTTGAGGTGACATTTAAGCTAAAATCTGAAGGAAGAGGAGTCGGCTGCAGAAACCCAAGGAGACGGGTATTTCTGGCAAAGAGCAATGTGCTATTATCCATGTATGTGTCCAAGTTATTACTTTGAGGTGACATTTAAGCTAAAATCTAAGGAAGAGGAGTCGGCTGCAGAAACCCAAGGAGACGGGTATTTCTGGCAAAGAGCAATGTGAGCTGACCCTGAGCCAGGAGGGGTCCTCACCTGCGGAAGCTCCTGAGTGGAGTGTCAGCATCCCATGGAGTGTGGGAAGCAAAGGAGATCGGGCTGGCAGAGGAGCAGACCCAGGTCATGCCAGACCTTATGCACCCTCATAAGGAGTTGGTATTTCATCCAAAGTATAACAAGAAGGCTTTGAGGTCTTCCAGGGATGTGACATGCACCTTATGTGTTACTGAAGATGAGCATGGCCGTGGTGGGAGAGCAGGTCTCGTGGACAGGAGTCAGGAGGACATGGCAGTGGTCAGGAAGGGAAGAAGGTGGCCTGGACCACTGCAGTGGCAGGAGATGGAGCCAGAGAAGGATCCAAGAGGCGCAGGAGAGGAAGAGTGGCAGGATGTGCTAGGCGCGTGGGTGAGGGCTTGGAGGTGGGAAGAAGGAGACTTCAGCCAGGCTTGAGCAGATGGCAGGTCAGTCCCCAAACTGGGGGAGTTGTCCACACAATAACTGCTGGTTGACTTCTCCCATCCCAGTGATTTTGAGCCTTAGTCACCCAAGCTGTCCCATCCTAGCTGTCTCCTAGTGGCAGGTGGCTGCCAAGACCTTGTTCTTCCCCACCTCATCGCATGGCCAATGTCAGCAAGAAGATCTTTCCTGCCACTTATCAGAGGCCTCATCTGGAGAGACCCCACACACAGGCAGATGGAGGCTGGTGGCCCCTCTTTGGTCAACTCCAGTGTCCAGAAGCTGCTGGAGATACTACAAAGAAAGCAGAACAGAATTTTTGGAAAGAAGAAAAAAAGGAGGACTCAGACTATCCCCTGGATTACCTGGGGAATACCTTAAAGTCACTGGGTGATGAGTGGGACACCAGAACCCCACAATCCTTCTGGAGCAAGAAAGATAAACCAGAGCTCCTGCCCAGTCTTCAGCAGCTCTCTTATCCCAAGGTCTCAGGGAACTATTTCCAGCGGAAATGCAGCCAGCTCTTCCGGGGCCTCCCCTTTTTGCACAGCGAGTCCCTGGTGGCTACAATTAGGGACTCTGGTCCCCCACTGTAGTTTTCCTCTGCTTTATTCAGTGAACTCTCTACTTCCTTTCCGGTACAAATTCAGACTCAACTGTCTCCACAACTTCTTCAGCCCCAGCTCTGGTGCCCCCATGTGGCCAAACCCCAACCTCTGACTTGAGTCTTGCCACTGTTCCAGCCCTCTCGGATCACAGCCTGGGGAGCACCTTACCCTACAAACCAGCAGAAGCCCAACTTCTTATCCCAACTTCCGTCCAACATGAAGGATGTCACCTCTTAAAGAAGGAACAAGAAGGTAGGAAGGACTTACCCTGTGTGGTCAGGATACCTCAGGAAGCCTTTAGCCAACTCACTCCCAACAGCGAGGACTCGCAGGACCACATCACTCTTCCACCTCCCAGGGGACTTCATCAGTCCTGAGCTTCAGAAGCAACTAGAACAACACCTTCACCAGAGATTCACACAACACTGCTGCGGACTGTCCCCCCAGGCCGCATGTGTCTCCAGACCTGATACAGCCTCAGGACCTTCACCACATGTTCACACAACACTGCCGCGGACTGTCCCAAGGGTCCCAAGTGTCTCCAGACCTAGTACAATATCAGGACGAATTCCCAAGGATGCCTCATGAGAAGGATAAGCGTGGGCCCTCTGTGTTTGCAGCAGGGAGCAGCCAGAACATGCAGAAAATGGGGTCCACAGGCCTAGCCAAGTTGCAACTTGTGAAGATCCCAAGTAAGGATCTGAGGCACTGTCTAAAGAGGGTCCTAGAAGATCTACCCAGGTCTTTGGAAAGCAGCTCAGGGAAGGTTCTAGGGGCCACCTCTGAGAAAAAGTCAGAAAGGGACTGGATGAGGCCATCAAGAAGTGAGTCAGGAAAGGATTCACCAAAGAGCCCAGACAAGAAGCATCAAGCAGACATCACGAAAGTCCACTTGCACAGGAAACTGTAGGAGATAAACGAGGGCGTGATCCCTGTGGGTGTTCAACATCCAGGCTTGCTAATGCTTCGGCTTGTCTCCTCCAGAGAACTCAAACCTTCACGTGCAAACTGGAAATCTAGCATCCCCCAAGGGTGAGGTATCCCACGCGACACCTCCCAGCTTTCCTCCTTGACCCACAGGTGCTGGGAGCGCACATGAAAAGGTCTCAGGTGAGGCACAGTGGGGCCTGTCCCTCAAGGTCCGCAGCCCCCACATCTCTTTAAGTTGGAAAAGGCTCAACCCTCCTCCCTTCCATGGTCTGCCTCTCCCTTGTCAGCCACCAGTGAATCTAGGGCCAAATGGACAGCCGAGGTTGCCAGTTTCCCAGGAGAACCTCCTCACAGAGATCCAGGACAGAAGGTGGTAGCAAAAACGTCAGTTTGCACACTGCCCCCTCGCCTGTGTATAAGGAAGCCCAGAGGTCTATGTACAAGACAGAGACCCCATCTGGTGACAAGTGTGGGCCCTCAGAGGCCCCTCTGACAGGAGGGCAAGTGGCCTTCTCAGCCCCTCACATGCAATGTCATGAGTACAACCTGGCATGGTGAGAATGTGCTGGGGGCTGGGAGAGGCAGGCTAAAGCCGAGTCCAAGTCCAGCAATGTCTACAAATGAGCCACAAGAGGAGAGTGCGAGCGGGGACTAAGGAGACACAGCCACAGTACAGCAATGCTGAAGAGCAACATAGGATCCCAGTGTTCAAGGAACAAAGAGACCAGAAACGCAGTGGAGACCAAGGAGGAGAGGCCCCTGCTTGGGAAGTCACCTTGGGAGTGGACGTGACGGTAAACTCCCAAACCAATAAAAATCTGAAGAGCTCAGAGTCTCTAGAGACCAGTAAAAGCCCCCCAGCCTCTAGAATTTCTGTTACTCAGGACCCAGGAGAGCCATACCTTACTACACAGGTTGCTGGTGAGTTTGAGCTCAAAGTGGAGGCAGAGTCAGAGAAACAGACTCAAGACTGTGCGGCTGCTGTCCTCCTTCAAGACCATACCACTGGGGTGCTCCCTGCTAAAGACACCTTGTCTTCTCAGTCCTTTCTGTCTGGCTTCCAGAGCATGTCCAGCAATGACACATCAGCTTCCCAGGGGCCATGTAACCTCTTCCTTAGGGGATGGAGCAGCCAGGGGCAGCAGGAGCCCAGGAGTCCAAAATTCCAGAACCTGTGAAGAGTCAGAGCAAGATGTTTGGCCCTATTGATAAGAGCTAAGGCTGCAGGAGGCTCACAAAGAGCACAAAAACAGGGCTGCAGGACTAAGCCAGCCTGCCCAGGACAGGGAGTCAGTAGAGTACTTAAGTAGCCAGTCTTTCCAGCCAGAGAAGGATCACGCATCTCCAAAAAGCCACTTCAGGAAAAAGATCAGGTGTTTTCTACAGTGGATTTTCCCCAGTAAAAAAACCAAAGGGTGGAAAGATCCCCTGCAAAAAGGCAAGCCCACATCAGCCCCTGCCCAGAGCCAGGAGCCAGTCCCAAGCAGACTGTTTGTGGACAACAGGGTGGCTGAAGCCCAGGCGCTCATGACCACTGTTGGAGGGACCCTAGAGGAGAAAATGGGGCTCCACCATGAACTTCCTGCCTCAAAGGCCCCAGTGGGAGGGTATTCCTGCTACCACAAGGGTCCCTCCTACACAGAGCAAAGAATAGTGATAACAGATATGGCCTGCAGTCACCATGCCACCCCCGTGGGCCACAGCCACCCAGTCAAGAACAGGTGGATCAGAGACAGAGACAGCAGTTGGGCCTCACTGCCCAGGGAGCATGTGTCCCCAGCCAGTCCCTGACAACACAGGCCACTGGTGGCAACAACCTTGGGCTGCCCCCTCTGCTCCCCCAGGCACTGTCTTCTTCAGAGAGGCATCTCATGTGGTCAACCAGATCATGCTTCTCACCTCTTCCCTGGTGAGAAGGGCTTTTCCCCAGAAAAACTTCACCCCACACAGAGAAAACCTATTTCTGCCATGCGGCACATGTTCCGTGTGCTGATGGCTTCTTCCTCCCGCGACACGCACTCTTTCCTAATATGTGTTTTTCCTCTTCAGAAGTGGTGGCTCTGTCTGCAGTGCGGGACCAAGAGAAAGGGTCAGCTCTTCCCAAGTGCAGCTTCTAGAAGGGACTGGGCCTGAGGGATGCTGACTGCAGCCTTGCAGATGCCCCCTGAGCCTGGAGGTCCTCTCTGCACCTCGTTTTCACCATGCAGCCATTACAGAAAGCCTTCGGGACTTTTCAGGATGAGTAAACCCTGTGAAGACCTCACCAGGGGTGGGGCTCAGTGTCTCCCCTGCTTTCCCTTGACCTTGAACGTGGTGCACCGCAGGGGGACAGGTCCACAGAGGCCCATTCTCCTCAGCCCAGAATGTCTGAGCAAGTAGCCTCACCTATCACAAGGTGGGCTCAGGAAGTTTGGGGGGGGGCAGTGCTGGTCCCAAGTCCAAAGGGAGAAATATGCCCCCAGATTTCTTGGGGGGACAAACCTGCTTGACCAGGGCCCCTCTCTCCTGTGACAGGGGGGATGGAGGTGGGTTCTACTGACCCCTCTCAGCTCAGCCTGGTGACATGACATGGCACATCACCCACCTGTCCAGAGCAGCGGGAGGATGGGCGTCAGGTGGCGCCTGACTCTGCCCCTGCCCAGGCCACCTGCCATACCCCCTAGGTGTAACTGTGTGTGTGGTCATATCCGACAGTGGGACACGGAGGACAGAGGGTGGGATGTGGGGGAAGAAGAACTGCACAGCTCAGAGCCAAAGAAAGAGGTGTGGGGCCTGGTGTGGGGCCTGGGGCATCATCATAGCACACGTCCCACCCTGTCCACAGGCCTGGAGAGGACATGCCAGGGCTGTGGTCACTGTGCACACTCCAGGGCCCCTGCTCCAGCTCCCAGGTCACAGGCCTGGGAAGGCCGCCTTCAGCTTGGGTGTTGACGGCTGGTCAGGGATGACCATTTCCCAACGATCTACCTGAGGACCTCACCCTGTCCCCTGTGGCATCCTCAAAAGGGGCGCTGGCAACAGGCGGGGCCTGGGGCATCATCATGGCACACGTCCCACCCTGTCCACAGGCCTGGAGAGGACATGACAGGGCTGTGGTCACTGTGCACACTCCAGGGCCCCTGCTCCAGCTCCTGGGTCACAGGCCTGGGAAGGCCACCTTCAGCTTGGGTGTTGAGGGCTGGCCAGGGACGACCATTTCCCAATGATCTACCTGAGGACCTCACCCTGTCCCCTGTGGCATCCTCAAAAGGGGCGCTGGCAACAGGAGACAGCCAGCACTGGGACTCATGTCATTCATAGTCTGGTGATGCTAACATGTGCACAGGACCCAGACTGTGCCCAGGGGACAGGTGGGGACTTACAGGGGTACAGGGGATGGCCTGGGGTCACACAGCGAGTGCTTCTGGCTCCCCGTCCAGCGGAGGGGACTGTGCTCACAAGGGTGATCTGTTCAGTCCAGGTGGGCCAGGGCCAGGCCAGGAGCATTTCTGTCAGCTGTTTTCTGGCCTGGGGTCACACAGCGAGTGCTCCTGGCTCCCGGTCCAGTGGAGGGGACTGTGCTCACAAGGAGCCAGGGTGATCTGTTCAGTCCAGGTGGGCCAGGGCCAGGCCAGGAGCATTTCTGTCAGCTGTTNGTCAGCTCTTCCCAAGTGCAGCTTCTAGAAGGGACTGGGCCTGAGGGATGCTGACTGCAGCCTTGCAGATGCCCCCTGAGCCTGGAGGTCCTCTCTGCACCTCGTTTTCACCATGCAGCCATTACAGAAAGCCTTCGGGACTTTTCAGGATGAGTAAACCCTGTGAAGACCTCACCAGGGGTGGGGCTCAGTGTCTCCCCTGCTTTCCCTTGACCTTGAACGTGGTGCACCGCAGGGGGACAGGTCCACAGAGGCCCATTCTCCTCAGCCCAGAATGTCTGAGCAAGTAGCCTCACCTATCACAAGGTGGGCTCAGGAAGTTTGGGGGGGGGCAGTGCTGGTCCCAAGTCCAAAGGGAGAAATATGCCCCCAGATTTCTTGGGGGGACAAACCTGCTTGACCAGGGCCCCTCTCTCCTGTGACAGGGGGGATGGAGGTGGGTTCTACTGACCCCTCTCAGCTCAGCCTGGTGACATGACATGGCACATCACCCACCTGTCCAGAGCAGCGGGAGGATGGGCGTCAGGTGGCGCCTGACTCTGCCCCTGCCCAGGCCACCTGCCATACCCCCTAGGTGTAACTGTGTGTGTGGTCATATCCGACAGTGGGACACGGAGGACAGAGGGTGGGATGTGGGGGAAGAAGAACTGCACAGCTCAGAGCCAAAGAAAGAGGTGTGGGGCCTGGTGTGGGGCCTGGGGCATCATCATAGCACACGTCCCACCCTGTCCACAGGCCTGGAGAGGACATGCCAGGGCTGTGGTCACTGTGCACACTCCAGGGCCCCTGCTCCAGCTCCCAGGTCACAGGCCTGGGAAGGCCGCCTTCAGCTTGGGTGTTGACGGCTGGTCAGGGATGACCATTTCCCAACGATCTACCTGAGGACCTCACCCTGTCCCCTGTGGCATCCTCAAAAGGGGCGCTGGCAACAGGAGACAGCCAGCACTGGGACTCATGTCATTCATAGTCTGGTGATGCTAACATGTGCACAGGACCCAGACTGTGCCCAGGGGACAGGTGGGGACTTACAGGGGTACAGGGGATGGCCTGGGGTCACACAGCGAGTGCTTCTGGCTCCCCGTCCAGCGGAGGGGACTGTGCTCACAAGGGTGATCTGTTCAGTCCAGGTGGGCCAGGGCCAGGCCAGGAGCATTTCTGTCAGCTGTTTCTCAGCACTGGTGATGTTGCCTCCTCCTGGGCCCACTGCCCGGAGAGGCGGTGTCACCTCTCCAGGTCCTTGCTTGAGCCCTGTGGGTCTCTCTCCATGGGGGATGGTCCTGACCAGGAGAGGCCACTGGGCCAATAACAGGATTGCGCTGCACCCATGCTGGTCAGGTCACCACAGAGGATGGAATGGTGCGTGGTGGAGGGTAGCACGTGCTGCAGGTGAGCCTGCAGCAGTGTCCTGTCACATCATGACCCGGGTGGTCTCCAGGGCGGCCCTGTGATGACAGCAGAGCCAGGACCAAGGGCTGGGCTGAGCCTGGAGCCCAGCAAACACCCACAGAGATCTGTGACAGAGACCCCTCAGAGACCTATTACACAGACCTGACTGAGACACCCACATAAGAACCTCTGATAGAGACCCACAAGAAAGACCCCCACGGACACCATTTACAGGGATCACCCACAGAGACTTCCTACAGTGACATCTTAGAGAGAGAGATCACAGACAGACTTCCCACAGGATCCTCATACAGAGACCTCCCTCTGATAATGCAGAGACTTCAGAGTCCTGCCACAGAGATTGCACACTGAGACCTCTGACAAAGATGCCCACAAAGAGAGAACTCAGAAACCTCACACAGAGGCCTGGCACTGAGATCTCCCACAAGGACTTCACATGCAAACTTTCCAGGAGACATGGAGACTAGCACGGGGTCTTTCCCACAGAGTCCTCCCACAGAGTCCTCCCACAGAGTCCTCCCACAGAGCCTTCCAGGCCTAACAGAAGCCTCCCAGACTCCTACAAAGCCCTCACACTGAATCCTCCCACAAAAGACTTTACACAAAGACCTTGCACACAGATCTTGCACAGAGACCCCCCTAGAGATCTTACACAGAGACCTCTCACAGAATCTCACGTTGCTCCACAGACCATCCCACAGAACTCACCCAGAGACAGCACACAGAGACCTCCCACTGTCCCCACAGAGTCCTCGCACACAGATCTCACACAACTTTCCAGAGACCTCACCCAGAGAAGTCCCACAGACACCTCCCACAGAGAACTTACCAAGAGACAACACACAGGGACCCCCACTGCCCCCTGAAGACCTCACATCCATTCTTCCTTCCCACTGGATCTGGAACCACTTAGCAAATATCAGTTGTGCACCCGCTCCCAGAACCCAGAGACACTCATTGCCAATACTGCCCCCAAAATGGGGTTCTCTGCTTAGGAAAATGCTTGGGAATTTTTGTTCTTTTGTAATGTCATTGCCTCTGAATAGAAGAATGACAGATTCCACGTGTAGAACTGCAAGATTCTTTCCTCCAGAGCTTTTCATTTACTTCTGCTATGACCCACAGTTTAGAAAATCACAAATCTTAAATGCAAATAAATGCTGCCAAGAATGCCATTGCCTCTGAATAGAAGAATGACAGATTCCACGTGTAGAACTGCAAGATTCTTTCCTCCAGAGCTTTTCATTAACTTCTGCTATGACCCACAGTTTAGAAAATCACAAATCTTAAATGCAAATAAATGCTGCCAACTTCCAATGAGAGCTAATATCTTGTGCCCAGTTTCAATTAATCTTCTAGTCAAATGGTATCAATGTCACAATTTTTATTTCATTGGGGACAAGACCTAAACTTGAGATGGCTCATTTCTTTACTTTTAAAACATGGTAAAGACCTGCAGCAAGGGCTACAGGAATCAAATAAACCAGCAAAGAGGGATCTGGCTGCACACTTGCTTCCCAGGAGGCTGTGCAAGTAGCACATTGTTTTTGCATGTAACAGCTTGTGTGAGGTTTGTGGGACTTGTTTTATTTTTAGATGAAACAACTTAACATCATGTAAAGATTTTTTGCAAACGAGTCTTATTTCTGGCAATGTCCTTATATTATCTTCTGGAAAAATTATACTTATTCCTTACTAATGATATTATTTTTTTCCTTAAAATCTGGTAATGCCCTCGAATGATATTATACATGTTTCCCAATTATGACAAAGTCCTAATATTCATCTAATACAGCTTAAAATTATGGAATATTTAGTAGAAGTCATTTTTTAAATAATTCTAAGAAATGCATAATACTCTGGCAGTCAGGCTCTGTTTATTTTCACTATAGGACTAGAAAAGGATGCATGATTCAAGTAGTTTGGAATCTTATAAGATATCACTTCAGATGCACAGCCTAATAACACTCCTGGGAAGGGACACTGTATTAGTCTGTTTCTGCTGCTTGTAACAAAATACCTGAAACTAGGTAATTTATAAAGAAAACCAAACTTATTGCTCATAGTTTCAGAGATGGGAAGTCCAAAGTCCAGGAAACACATTTGGTGAAGGCCTTGGTGGTGGCAACAGTGAGGGCAGGGTCTCACATTGTGAAATGGTGGAGCAGAGAAAAGAGACTAAACTCCTCATCCACTCTCCTTTTAAAGTCCTCAGAACCATGCCCCTGACCACCATTATTAATCCATTCACTACGGTATGATCCTAGAATCTAATCACCTCTTCAAGGCCCCACCTTTCAATTACCATAATAGATTTCCCACCCTCTTAACACAGTGGGGGTCAAGCTTCAATGAGCTTGGGAGACATCCGATCCACAGCAGACTTCCTAACATCTGAATTGAAGAAAGCACATTTAATCAACATTTGTATTAGAATAATGAATAATGAAAGGCCTCCATTATACACCCAGCACTTTCCAAAGGGTACACTTTGGTGAGACTATATTTCTTGCTGCTCATAAGCAAACCTGTTGTCCTTGCCTTGCTAAAATCTCTTTTAATGACATTTGTTAGGAATGTGTCACTGGTTAAGTCACCCAGATTAGCCACTAGGACAGTCCTTTCTCTAAAAGAAGCACAGCTAACATGAAGGTTCTTTTGGCCTATTTCAACAAGAAGTTCCCTTCTATCCTCCATAATTGCAAATTTATACCTATTAATGTTTCTACTCTCTACTCCCTTATAATGTCATTGAACCACCAAACAATGGAATATGGTCATCGTTGTTTTCTAGTCCCCTATTAGATTGTACTTGTTTTATAGTGCAACTTATGCAAGTAAGTTTAATATTCAGAACAAAATGGGACCATTTTGAAAAGCTTAGGAAAGATTTTCAAGGAGAAAAATGCTTTACAATAGTGTATCCTTTTCAAACTGTCTTTTTTTTAACAGGGCTGAACTAAGTGGTTATTCATCAGTCTTGTGAATTGAAGTTGTCAGGTTTGCTTATGAGCAGCAAGAAATGTAGTCTCACCAAAGTTTACACTATGGAAAGTACTGGGTTTATAAGTGAGGCCTTTCTTTATTCATTATTCTAATACAAATGTTGATTAGATGTCAGAGTGGCCATAAAGTCTGAAAACAGACATCCATAATACATAGTTTTTTGCTCTGACACGTTGCATATGTTGTCCCTCAGTAGCAATCATAGTTCAATAAGCTGCGCACAGTTGCAATAAACAATGTGCATTAGAGCAATGTTCCCATCAGTCACTGCGTGTGCATCTGTCATGAGCAGCCTCACATGAGGCATGTGTCCAACTTTCACAGCAGAACTTGCGCCTTTGCCCCAGAGGAAATAATCAAGGGGGTTCAATCTACTACAAAAATGTCAAGATTTCCTGACTCTGTGGACATCTGTATTTTATTTTTACCTACTGCAAATATTAAAATTTTACTATTTTATGTATACCAAGAAATAGATATCAAAAAATGAGATAATGGAGAAAACATCTCTCCTTTGTTTTCAAAATGTTTCACATCGAAATGTCTGGCTGAAAATAAAGTGATTTTTAAATCACATTTTTAAATGACATTCAGGATCTATTACAAATTTGGTTTTGAAATATTTTTATTTTTATTTTTTTAAATTTAAAACAGGTGTCATACTGATTTCAATAAATCAGGCCCTCCAGAACACAAAGCCAAGTTTGGAGTTATGTGAAGACCCCTTAATCACTCAAGGGAGTCATTCTGCAATGTTAACCCCCAAGAACCATTTCCCTTTATAGGCTATAACATTGTCGTCGGTTTCAGGCACTTTTCCTTTATATCTACATTTTCTGTCGTGTTCACACCCTTGGCCTAAAGCAACCAGGATCTAGATAATCAAGGGGTTTCATAATCGCTTCCCCCACATACTCTCTGAGGTCGGTCAGATCCCTAACCTCTCCTGCAACATGATCGTCACAATTGTGCCCACGGCCACATGGATTGTTGCATTTCTCAAACAAGAGCACGTCCTGCTGGTTACTCAGAGGGTTGCTGTGTCACCGCTCCTTCCTTCCGCTGCGGAGTACTATCCAGAACAACCCATTTCCCCATGGACATGAGTTCCACGCTCTCCACAGCCACACTACCACAGTCACACAAATGACGAGGATGAAGCCAACTTCCACAAAGCTATGAAAAAACGCTGTCCCAGGGACAATAGGGGAGGCTTTAGAACATACTAACCTCTTTTCTAGGAAGCGTGGGGGGTGCAGCTCTCTGGTTCTAAGCATTTTTGTGTTTAGCGTTTCTTACCCTCCTTTGCTGTAGTGATGTCTGCAGGTCTTCCCTCCCCGGAGCCCAGAAGCTGCATGGCCACCACCTGCTCCTGATGATTTCACAATCTCTGCCACTTGTTACCAATGACCACTTAGCCAGACACACCTCCCTCAGCTCAGGGACCTCCTTAAGCTTCAGGAGCAAGACCACCCACCACCCTTGCTTTTTATTTCTCCCACAATTACATGCAAGTAACACTTTCCGTACCTACTTCCAATGGCAATAAGTATTTTGTAGACTGTGGTCCCTGCACTGAGATAAACTTTCCACCTACCAGGCCTGTGACATGGATAAGTCACTCAGTGTCTCCAAACTTCATTTCCTTGACCTGGAAAATGGGGATAAAAGTTAGTAACACTGCAGTGAAGGGAAAATGGGTTACAATATTACACTTTCCACTGCTCCTCCTGATGATTTTCCTATTGTCATTGTTTATGTTTTTCTAATTTAGTTTTTAGTTAAAGTACACCCAATTTTTTTTAATCTTTATTTTTATACAGAATTAAGCAATGTAACTGTCTAGCACAAAAGCTGTTTTTTTCAACGTGTTAAAGATTGAGTCCTCTCTGAGAAAATAAACTGAACATTCTTTCAAGTAATTTTCAAGCCATTTTTTTGCCACACGATATTTAGTGGGTTTCTACTAATTTACCTTGGTGTGCAAAGACTTTTTTGCGATCCCACAGCTATCGCCGCTGTGACTTTGGAAGAGCTGGACTCGCGAGGTCCTTCAAAACCAGCTGTTCTGGGTGCTGGCTTCCCCAGTGTTTGGGTGAAGTCTGGAGTCCCCAAGGGTTACCCGCCTAGTTTCAGACAAGGACAAACCTCTGGCTACCTCCAGTAACCAGACGAGGTCTGATTTCGCTAATCCCACTGCGCAGCCGCAGCCCTGCTTTGCAGCCAGAGCGCCCCCCTGCGTTTAAAGGCGAAGCTTCTGTCCCCGGAACAGCGCGCCCGGGTGGGGCTCCTGCGCGGAGGCGCGGGCTTCTCCGTGTCGGTGCGTCTGCCTTTACTTACCAGCCAGTTCCACTGACGTTGGCTTCTGACCCCTTCAAGTCCAGGGGGGAGCGAGGGGGCAGGAGGAGGGGGAAGTCAAAAGAAAGAAGAGCTCCCGTGATGGGCACCCGCTGCAGCAGCCCTCGGTAGAGCCACCTTAGATGTGGCAGAGGTTCCAGTGGACTGAACAGGGGACAATCCGTGCCACTTCCAGGGCCAACACCTGCACGTCCCTGTCGGACAAAGCATCTCCCCTGGCTGGTCCCCACAGTCGCTCCCTAGGCCCCCTCATCGCGCAGTCCCCTTGCTGTTTTCATCTCATCTCCCTCCTCTTAGAGCCAGGGCTCTCCAGCTGGGCACAGGTGGCCGAGGGCGGACACCACCCGCGGTGGACAGCAGGCGCTCCCAGTGCAGCCAGCCCTTCACTGCGGAATGGCTCGAGGGCAGTAAGAAAACAGACCCCTGAGTTTCCCAAATGCCAGGGGGGCACAGGCAGGTTCTCAAAGTTGGTTGGTTCCTTTCTGAGTTGATGATATTTACATGAGATTTGGAACTTAGAGTGGATGGTAGAATGGGTTAAGAATTTGGGAGATGTGGGAATGGGGGTGACTACATTTTGAACCTGGGATGGACATAAATATTTATTAACTGGAAGGAGTTATTGCCATTTTTTGCTCTTTCATTCAGTTTTACTAAACGTTTCTGGTTGTTCTTCCATGTGAACTTTAGAATTATTTTGAGGAGAGCACCTTACCACCCACCAAAACACCAAAACAAAAATGAAAGCAAAAACTGTTAGTATTTTAATTAGGATCACATTAAATGCATAAATTAATTTAGGAGCACCTGATATCTTAATGATACTCTGTCTACTTAAGGCCAATTGTTTAAGACTTATCTTCCATCAAATACAAGTTTTCATCATGTAGGTTTTGCACATTATTTTAAAGTCCTTATACTTTTGTTTTTTGTTTTGTTATTGATCTCATTATGCAAATGAGGTAGTTTCTTCCATGTATCTTCTTAATGGTTGTTGATTACAGATGTATCTTGTCTGGAATAGACTTCTGTAAAACAGGCAAAAGTGAAACAATTAAATGTAGTTTGGACACGTAAAGCAACTCAGCCTAAGTTAATGCGAACTCAATCCATAGCTGCTTATCAGATGTGCATTAAGGGCGTACGTATCTAGGATATAATTGTACTGCAGTTTTGTTGATAATCTTTAAACTATTAATCTCCATTCATCTTATCTTCTTAAATCAAAATGTATTTTATTTTCTTAAATCTTTATATTTGTTGGTGTTGAGGCTGTGCAGTAATTCTATAATATATTGGTCCTGAGGACCACAAAATTCTTGACACAACTGCTGAAGTGACAAATGGAAAGATAGCATCTCTTTCAAATATTGATTGCTAGTGGGAGAGGCAAGATTAAAACCATAATGTCCACTGGGTAGGGGGAAGAGGTAAGGGGTATTTTGTAACAGCTTCATTGAGATATAATTCACATACCCTAAAATGAACCCATTTGAAGTGTACAATTCAATGGGTTTAGTGTTAGTAACAGTGTGAAACCATTATGACAATCTAATTTTAGAACATTTTACCCCTCTCCCCAAAAAACTTATACCCACCAGCAACCACCCCATATCTGCTACTCTCTACCCCACCCTGCCCCTATTAATACTAATTAGCAATCACTAATCTACTTTCTATCTCTACATATTTACCTCTTCTGAGAATTTAATATACATGGAATCATACAAATGTGGGGTCTTTTGTGACTGGATTCTTTCACTTAGCATGGTATTTTCAACATTCATCCATGTCCTTCTTATTTGATGACTAATATTTTATTGTATGATATACTGTATGTTGTGTGTCCATTCATCAGTTGATAGACATTTGGGTTGTTTTCACTTTTTGGCTTTTATAAATAAATGCTAATATGAACATTCACATGCAAGTTTTTCACATGGCCATATTTTTTCACTTCCCTTTGGTATGTATCTATGAGTGAAATTGCTTGGCCATGTAACTCTGTGTTACACATTCTGAGGAACTGCCAAACTGTTTTCTAAAGGAAATGCATCATTTCATATTCCCATCAGCAACACATGAGGCTTTCAATTTCTCCTCATCCTCACCAGAACTTGCCTTTGTCTTTTATATTTTAGCCTTCCCAGTGGATGTGAGGTGGTATCTTATTGTGGTTATGATTTGCATTGTCCTAATGACTAATGATTTTTAAGATGTTTTTCCGCATATCTTCTTTGGAGAAATATCTATACAAATCCTTTGCCCATTTTGTAATTAGGCTGTCATTTTATTGTTAAATAGTAAAAGATCTTTATATATTCTGGATATGTCTCTTATTAAACTCATGCTTTGTAAATATTTTCTCCCATTCTGTGATTTGTCTGTTAACTTTTTTGGTAGTACTGATTGTTTGATAGATAGCAGCACAAAGGTTTCTAATTTTGGTGAAGTTCAGTTTATCTTTTTTTTTTTTGGTGGGTGGGGCAAGGAGGGAAGACGACTCAGCTGGACACAGGTCAGAACCTCCCTTGGGCTCAGCCCCTGCTGTTCTGAAGGTGGAATTTGAAGGATGCACTTGCTGGTTCTGTATTGGTGAAGCAGCTTCAACATCCCCTAATTATGACAATGGCCTGTACTGTGACCCAACTTGCAGAGTTTTCCTTCAATAGGCAATTGAGTAGGACCCACATTAGCCAAGCCAAGGCCCCAAGGGCTCAGAGGCTGGCAGTGCCCACCCAAAGGACCCCCCTGACTATGTGACCCCACACTGCATGGCATCCTTCTTGTGCCACAATCATCTGCTGCCTGACCCTGCTGCTCAGGCACAGAGGACCAGGACTGACAGTGTTCCACACTCCTTTAGCTCCTCCAGCCAACACAGGCCTACCTGCACACAATTCCACCATGATTCCCACCTTCTAAACACCCGCATGGACATGAGCGTTCTTGAATATGAATATGCCAAGTGGAGAAAACTTTACTAAAATGGTAAAGAAATGAACTTGAAGCATGTATAAATTTACATATTAAAACACTCACCTTGCTTATGTTTATGCGACTCAGGATTTGAAAAGATGTAT